TGGTCTGTCGCACCACGTTTTTATTTTGATTGGTCAAAATAATTTATTACATTTCATTATGATTAACGCTATCCCTTAAACGGTTAATCGGCTATTGGTAGCCGATAAAATTATACGAAAATAAAAATGTTCTTTTGAGATTTAGCCGATTAATCTACGGTGCAGATCATCTATGTTGCATAACTTCAAATTTAAAAGAAAATGAGACAAATTTTTTTTTAGATTAATAGACCCTCTTTTTAAAGCTGAATTGAATGGTGGTAGGTTTTTTTTTTAATCCAATATGTAGATCACATAATATTTCAAAAATTTTAACTTTTGAGTACAGATGATCCGCACTGTATAAATAAAAATCCGGTTGTTGTCCTTTGTGGTTTTGTAAAAGTTGGTCAATTACTTTGCTGATCGTTAAATTGACCAATAAGAATGATCAAAACTAATTTGTGTTACACTCCGACTGTTCAAGAGATAAGTAATTTCTTTACTGTAACCTTATTTTCTATATAATTCCCAAATTGTTTAGCACATTGATTAATTGGGATATTCTCTCTTAGTGAACGATTAATGTGCTATGAAGGATATTTAATAAATAAAAAAGCGATCACGATCTAGCAGCAAAGATGAGATGTGTTTGCAACAATATCAGACATGTTTGCAACCAATTGAGATGCATTATATCAAAAAGAAGCGTATTTGATGAGCTTGCAACCAATTAAAATACATTTGAGTTTCGACATCCTTCAGGTTCGAGTTAGAAGTTTGTTCAACATCAGCGTGAGGTTTTTCTTTCGTCGAAAATTGACTTCACATTAACTACTTTTAATTTTCTGCCGAGCAGATTATGTTGATATTAGGCTGAAGATTGTGATCTTGCTTATTAACAGTGAATGCATGAAATGATTTGCGACTATAGAGCTTGTATATCGGTTTTTCGATTTCTTTTACATCATCGGATAATAAAAATCAATGGTAAATAATTCCCCAAAATGGACTTTATGTAAACCATTCTGCTCAAATTGTTCCAATAATTGGAATTGTCCGTTTTTTAGGATTTTATTTAAGATATCCATGATTCACATTGAGTGTCGATCACCATTACATTGTAAGTATATTCCTTTACTTTTTTCGATCACGGCGCATTTTCGAAGCCAATGGATTATTATAAACTTCAATGCTCCATTAGCTGTGACAATTCATCTTCAGCGTGACCAACTTCAACACGTATAGGTGTGGACAGAATGAATAATATGAATACACCAAACTTTCTTTTCCATCCGTAATTCGTGCAGATTTATCCATCAAAACAACATTGAAAAGCCTTCCTTGACCACGATTATTGGATCAGGTATAAATCCTTGATTTAAGAACTACATATGCTTTAATGTTTATTCTAAACAAATAATAAAATAAAACAATACATAGCTTTAATGATTAATATTCTCAAAAAATAATTAATATACATACACAGAATAATAAGAGAAATCAATGTCTTTGATTTCTAATGTATCTGATGATGGTGGTAGTGGTGGTAGTGGTGGTGGTAGAATATTCAATTTTGAAACCACCACGAGATATAACCTTGCGACCGACCGATCCGTTTCGTAGCCGATAACTGCACACAATTTGAAGAATAACAATATAAACTGACTCGTGTGTAGTATTCAATAATTTCACAAATCTTCATTTTTTGTTTTTGAAAAAAAAAAATCAAAAAGATTCCAAATTCCCATAATAAATGTCCATAATCAATAAGCAACAATATATTTATAAGGGTTAAAAATCTTGAGAATAAAAAAAAGGAAATGATAAAAATAAATCTGAAAGAATTAACTATATATATATATATATATATATTGTCTATTTAATCATTGGTAACTCAAGGATGATAATTGAAAAAATAGAATATAAAAAAAAACCGTTACATGGTAAATAATACCATATAAAACACAGCATCTCTCTTTCACTTCTTAAAAATATTCCTTTTTTTTAAATAGTGATTTTTATTTTTATTTACGAAACTTTTAAAAGGTTAATCTTTTTGTGGAGGAGATGGAGATGGAGGAGATGAAGCAGGCTGACCGTTTGGAGATGAAAATTCTTCCTTTATAGGTGCTGGTGGTGGTGAACGTGACGCACTCCTCATTTCAGCATCCTTTGGTGGTGGCGTTGATGTTGACATTTCATTTTTAACTTCAATTTTTTCATCACCATTTGTTGTTGTTATATCTTTTGCTGGTGATCTAGAACGGGTACGACTTCTACGCGCAACAGAGGACCGGGCACGATCTCTTGTACGAGAACGTGATCTTGAAAGAGAGCGTGTTTTAGATTTTGACCTGTTTCTACTGAGTGGTGTACGAGAACGTGAACGTGAACGTGAGCGAGAACGTGAGCGAGAAAGAGATCTATGTCTTCTGGTACGTGATGGCGGGGTTATGGAACGACGACGATGAGGTGAATTTCTGCTGCTACTTTCATAACGCCAAGATCTAGATGGTGCATTTTTTGCCCACTAAATAAAACAATATTGATTTAAAAGAATGATTTAATCAATCAAATATTTATCTTATATGTTTATATATAATTAATATATAATAAGTATTATTTTAAAACCTGAATATTTAAAGTATATCCATAAATTCTACGACTGTGCATTTCATAATAAGCATCCTCAGCATCTCTTTCATCTTCAAATTCAACAAATGCATATCTTTTTTGTAAACATGATATTCATAAAAAAAATAATTCTCTAGAATTAAAAATTATTTCTTTCAACATATATTATATATAAAAATTAATTAATCAATATTTACGGCTTAGATTGATAACTTCTCGGAGCAGGAATGTCACATCGGATCAAACGTCCATATCTGCATTAATATATATATATATATGAATAAAAATTAATAACTTGTGAAGTTTTCTTAAAATACTAAATAATGGAATGATAAAGTGTTTAATCGTTTCATAATACCTTTCAAACTCATATGCCAAATCTCTTGCACGTATTTGAGAGCCAAAGCCAGCTACAAACAAGGTTGTTCTTCGACTACTCATCTAGAGAAATTTATTATTTATGTATATATATAAAATCTAGAGCTATTTTTCTATTATTAAAAGTGCTTTATATTATTGAAACTCGGTATTATTTAATATCACTATTATTATCTCACAAAATATTTATTTATCGTTGAAGAACTTCTTCACTTTCTTGATATAGAGGATATAGAGATGTTAAAAAAGTGAAATCATGCAAAAAATCCTGACCAATTAAATATATAAATCCACGTTTAATCTTTTAAAATGATTGTCACACGATTGTATACTAAAAGTGGAAGATTTTATAAAGAGTATACATAAATGGTAGAATCGAATAAAATAGAAAAATTACGCGTAACTTAGCAAAAAAAATTTTTTTTTACTTGAAGAAATAATTTAATATAATAATATGACAACACATCGCCGACATTCTTTTTCTTCTTCCTTATCTTATGAAACAGATGAAATCGATGAATTTAATGAATTTAATGGTTGGTTTAAACATTATAATTATTT